AATAATTATTATTACTTTTGAATTATATACAATTATCTTTTATTATTTATTTTTATTAATTACCATTTCAATTTTAAATAGTTCTTATAGTTTTTCTTACTCTATCTAGCAGCGCCAAGTGTTTTTACATGAAAAATTTTTCTATTTAAGTTAAATTTTTTCATTTTATACGGTTAATTCTTTAATTTTTGTGGTAACACTTATATTGAGCAAGGTAACGCAATGTTGTGATAATGTTTTGTATAATGTTTTGAAGGAGAATTAAATAACCACTACTTTAGTTGGAAGAGGAAATGTCTTTGAATGAAATGTGATATAATAATTTCATTTAAAAAGATGTTAAGGAATGTAGTGAATTTGTTTAGACCGCGCAAATCCGTAGTCTCGTCGATAACTGGCGCTTGCGGCGCTCCCGCGTAATGCGCGCGCAGTAAAATTTTAGTTTATGTTTACACAACGGACATTTTATTATTCACTATAAGTTTTCACCGCTGTAATGCTTCGTGTGCAAATAAATCCTTTTGAACCTTTAAGTTCATGTTATCATTAACATTTGGCGCCCAACGTGCGGCACGAAGTGAACGGCGGCAATAATAAGCATTGGAGATACATCCCGTAAAGCAAGTAGGTAGACATAACCACAACAAGGTATCGGCGGAAGATCTTTCTAACCTCAACGGAGGAAATCGGCAGGAAATCTTTGCAACGAGACATACTCAGGTAAGCAGATTATAAAGTTAGAGCATACTATACAACATGGAAGTAGATATGTCTAAATTAAAGCAGCGCAGAGCGCAAACCAAAGGTCAAGTTACTCGCATATTGCATTTTTTTCGAGGCAGGAAATGTCACGATTGATGAGGCGCAGATCAGACTGCAAAAACTGGAAGAGTTTTACTACAGCTTTATGGAAATACAAAGTACAATAGATGACAGCAACCCCTACCGAGGAGGAGGGAGAGCCGAGCGAACAAGGTGATCCAGAAAAAGAGATCTTCGAGAACTTATATTACAAAGCTGCGGCAAAGGCACAGCAAATAATTCGAGAAGGATCATCGCAAACAGCGGCACGCGCAAAAAAGGAAGATTCGGAAGAAATATCCGAAATTACACGCAGACGACCGAAGCTACCACAAATAAAGCTTCCGGAATTCAATGGAGAGTACACTAAGTGATTATTCTTCAAGGATAGTTTCGAGACTACTATTCATCAAGATGACAGCTTGACTGCTGTACAGAAGCATCAGTATCTCATCGGAGTGCTTCAAGGAGAAGCTCGCAGCGTGATTGAAGGATTCAAAATTTCCAGCGAAAGCTATGAGAGCGCTTGGAAACTATTAAAGGACACATATGACAATAATATGGTAATTATTCAAAATCATTTGGATGAATTATTAAACTTTTCAGAGATAACAAAAAACAATAAAGCAGATTCGATACGAAAGTTTATATGGCATATTCAAACACATGTTTCTGCATTGAAAACGCTTGCACTACCCGTAGATGAATGGGACGCGATATTACTGCATTTAGCAAAAAAGAAGCTTGACTTTATCGAGCAAAGAGATTGGCAGAATCTCATAAAAAATCGCACGCCGCAAAATATGCCGCAATTGTCGGAATTCATGACGTTCTTGACGGAACGATGTCACACGATGAAGATCCTTGAGCAAGGTCAAATGAAGACAGAAAAGCCGTTAAATCGAGATGCAAAGAAAAACGAGAGCAAAGTAGCATTGGTTTCCGTAACGAATAAGTGTAAGATTTGCGAAGGAGATCATCCAGTTTTCAAATGCGCCCGAATGTTGCGCTCGATGCACGAGATTGCACTCGGATAGTAACGCGCACTCCCGAGAGCACGGAAATAAAGAGACTCAAGGCTTAAAGAGTAGGAAATAAGAAGCCGTTTATTTAGTAACGTCGGCATCATGAGATCGTCAGTACATAAGTAGCGTAACGATAATATGTGTAATCGGCGGAGAAGCACGTCCGTACGTCTTGATTGCTCTCCGAAGATCTGACAGCTGTTCACCGTCAACAACGGCACGTCGTCTTCACAACGCGACACCACCGGTGTCAGCACAGCACGGCATGCGACGAAGCATGGGCGTAACACTGCCCCCCTTCTGAAAAATTGTCGTCCCGACAATTCTCTGGCTCCAAAGTTTATAAAGAGTCTTCTCCAAGGAATTCTGGGCTCCTGACCAATTCCTGCTCCCTTTCTGCGCTGCTGCGTCAGTTTTATTAGAGCTTGGTCTTTCTGGGATCCGTTTCCCGGACTGAAGCTTTCTCCTCCTTCTGGGCAAGACCCCTTTTCAGTTTCTCTTCCGGAGTTATCCAGTCTCCCGGAGAAACACGCTTGAGCATCCCCCCAACTTCACGAAGGAGGTGTACTTCCTCTTGACTCTTCTCTTGAACCTTGCGTACTTGTCACTTCGTTTTTCGGACTGGGAGGGGAATGATGAAAAGTTTTTCTGTCCACAGTACCTCTATTCCCAGTCCCCGTCTCGGCATTTGTTAAAACTACCAATAGCAGAACGTAAACAGAAGCTTATTGACAAGAAATTATGTTTTAATTGTCTCAGCACAGGACATTATGTCCGTGAATGTAAAGGCTCAACATGCAAAAGATGTGACAAGAAACACAATTCGATAATTCACAAAGAAGATCAAGAAGAGCGAGGCAATGCTCAAGTCAAGTCATCCAGCGAGGATACACCAAAATCAGTCGTTACAACATGTACAGAATCGAAGTATAACACATCAGTTGAGTCATCACAAGTCCTCGAACAACAATCATCCATCAATATAAACAACATTACAGCCAATGTTTATTGCACAAATCAGCAAGATGCCAGAGTGATTCTTTCGACCGCGAGGGTTCGGGTAACAGGAGCAAGCGGAGAAGAGCGGCACTGTCGAGCGCTACTCGATCCAGGATCACAATTCAATTTAGTTACAGCCGATTTAATTCGAAAATTTAAGTTATCATGTCGCAATGAAGTACGTCCGATTAGTGGAATTAACAAGACTATCACAAGAGTTGTTAAAGCAATTTGCATTCATATCAAGTCAATACATAGCGAATTTGAGACTACAGTAGATTGTCTAGTCGTACCAGAGATTACAGAGCAGTTACCGCAAACTAAAATAGAATCAACGATATACATTCCAAAGGATGCCAAACTAGCGGATCTTACCTATGACAAACCAGGATCCATTGATATGCTTCTAGGCGCAGGAGTATATTGGAAAATTGTTAACGGAGCACCGAAAAATCAAATCAAAGGGAAACCAGCGTTACAAGATACGCATTTAGGAGTAATTATCGATGGAGAATTAACCGAAAAGCACACAATTGCATCAAGATTTTGCAATATGGTTACTAATACTCAACTACAAAATCAATTACAACGGTTTTGTAGATTAGAAGAGATGCCGGAAAGTCGTTCCTATACAAAGGAGGAAATACACTGTGAGAAGTTCTTCATTGATACTGTTACGCAACAAAAAGACAGTCGATTCAATGTTCGATTGCCGACTCATTCAAGTGTAAGTCTAGGAGATTCTATGCCACAAGCGGTCAGGAGATTAAGTTATTTATTATTATTATTATTATTATTTATTATGTATATATATAGTATACACAAATAGTAAGGCACCAGCAATACTGTTGCTACTACGCCCACTAGTAAACTATTCGACTAATTTAGAGCGTCGACTCGCTAAGGATCCCACACTGAAGGAGGTTTACAAGGAATTCCTGAATGAATATCGACAACATGGTCACATGTCTTTGATAGAAAATCCGGATGTTCTGTTAGCACAGGAACATTACATTATTCCACATCAACCTGTTGTTCGCTCCGACAGTATGACGACAAAATTACGAGTCGTCTTTGACGCGTCTTCAAAGACCACAAATGGTAATTCATTAAGTGATAAATTGATGCCCGGTCCGAACTTACAAGCGGATTTGCAGCAGATTTTAATGCGATTTAGAACGCATGAATTTGTTCTAACAGCGAACGTTACATCAATGTTTCGTCAGATTTTAGTAGACCCTAGGGATCGAAAGCTACAGCTCATATTATGGCGCGATGAAGCAACACAATCACTGCAGTTATATCAGCTTAATACCGTGACATATGGAACAGCTTGCGAACCATATTTGGCCATGCAATGTCTCAAGGAATTAGCCGAAATGCACAAATAGGAATTACCTTTAGCAGCTAATGATGTAGAACAGGACTTCTACATGGATGACGTCCTAACTGAAGGATCTACCCTTGAATATGTGTTAGATTTGCAAAAACAATTAATCGAAATGTTGGATCGTGGAAAGTTTCCTTTACGTAAATGGAGGGCAAGTAGTCTGAGTCTGTTGGAACATTTATCAGAGCACAGTAGAGCAAATAACTTACTTGTGATAGACGAAGATCAGCCACTCAAAACATTAGGACTCTTATGGAATGCGATATCAGACACGCTTCAATACCGAGTCATATTGGAGGAGACTGCATCAAACACTAAACGGAATGTATTATCCAAGATATCACAAGTATTTGACCCGCTTGGTTTGGTGGCTCCAGTACTCATCGTCGGAAAAATTATCATGCAGCAAATATGGAAACAAGACGTGGAGTGGGATCAAGAGCTTCCAGCTAATCTGAAGATAGCTTGGAAAGATTATTACGCATCGCTTACCCGATTGAATGGCATATCAATCCAAAGAAATGTCAATATTAATAACAAGTTGACAACCTTCGACATATATATGGATTTGGTGATGCCTCAGAAATCGCATACGGGGCATGCTTGTATGCAGTTAGTACAGACGAACAAGGTATTAGTCACTCGGAATTGATCTGTGCAAGAGCTAAGGTAGCACCCTTAAAGACTATATCCTTACCAAGGAGTTAGAAGCAGCGCTTTTGTTATCACAATTATATAACATAGTAAAAAGAGCATGTGCAGATAGAATCAATAAGGTTATCTTATGGAGCGATAGTACCGTAACGCTTGGATGGATTAAGACACCACCGCATACTCTCAAGACATTCGTAGCGAACAGAATATCTAAGATCCAGGACCTTACAGAAGAAGCTATTTGGTTACATGTTGCATCGGAAGACAACCCAGCCGACCTATTATCGCAAGGAGTAACGGTGCAGCGTTTGATTCAAGATCAATTGTGGTGGAACGGACCTTGCTGGCTAAGAGAAGGAAAGCAGTACTCACCTTTAATGGAGAATCCAGAAATTTACCGGAGTTGAGGACACCATTTGTCACTTTGGTGTCGACCTTTACACATCAGATCTTGAGAAAATATTCTTCATATAGTAAATTATGTAGAGTCATAGCGCGCGCGCGCGCGCGCGCATTTTGTTACAGGTTCGCAGAGAATTGTCGATCCAACAGGAAAACGACACCATTCAGCCCGACAGAAATGGAAAGAGCGGAGAAAGTTATTATCCGATGGGTTCAACAGGAATCATTTCCCATAGATTCACTGTTTACAAGAGAATCGATTACTTCCACGGAAGAGTCCACTATGTGCTTTGGCGGCCTACTTCGACAACGAAGGATTGATTCGTGTGAGAGGCAGATTGCGACATGCAGAAATCTAGTCAGATCAGAAAAACCCCATCGTGTTACCCACTAGACATCATGTAACTAGCATCCTTTTACGTGACAGACATGAACGGTTGCTTCATTGCCCACCGGAGCAATTATTATTTGATATACGACTACGATTCTGGCCCATCAGTGGAAGACGAGAAGTCCGCAAAGTTGTTAAAAGGTGCGTCAAGTGCTATCGGTTTAATCGAACTACAACAGAGGTCAGGATGGGAGATCTGCACTTGAGAGAGTTCGCAGTTACAATCGACCCTTTACGGTAACCGGTATAGATTATGCAGGTCCTATTCAGGTTCGAGAAAGCCGACGCCGAGAAAGAATTCATGTTAGTAAGGGATATATCGCAATATTTGTTTGTACCAGTACAAAAGCCGTACATCTGGAAATGGTGATCGATCTTTCTACAGAAGCATTTATGGCTTCCTTACGGCGATTCACTTCTCGAAGAGGTTTATGCTCTCAGATTTTGTCGGACAACGGCACTAATTTTGTTGGAGCAACTAGACATCTCAATGAAAGAATTGGAAAGAGTAAGGGCACTAGAAGTCGGGCGCAGAAGATGTCGCGCAAATAATACACTTATATAGAGTGAAACTTCTTTATTCACTAAACGCGCTTACATGTTTCGACTCATTTTTAAGCCTTCCTCAGAGCAAACACACGTTAACATATATAAAGTAAAAATTATCCTATCATGGTGAGCTCCCCAAGATTACAAAGTACCGTATCGCAATCAATATTATGAATAATTCAAGAACTGGTTCCTGATATGTTGACCAGTCGGTATCAGACACAGTGAGTCACTTTTTTTTAGTTATTAGCTATAGTACTAATGAAAATTGTAAAATGATAAAATTTCGTCAGAAGGACTTATTACTGTGTACGAGCGACACCGAGTGAACCTCACTACAGAAAGAGATTGATTTCGGAGATGATATTCATCAGAAGACAAACTCATGGACTCAACCTACAGACGGATATGGAGGGGCTTCCGAAGGCCTCCCGAGTATAGATAAACTATAAAAGCTCGAGTTGTTGTCACGTCTTGTCAGTCGGTGTCGCTCGTACACAGTAATAAATCCTTCTGACGAAAGATTTTTTTTTATCATTTTACAATTTTAATTAATACTAGCTAATAACTAAAAAAGTGACTCACTGTGTCTGATACCGACTGGTCAACATATCAGGAACCGGTTCTTAAATTATTCATAATATTGTTTGGGATACGGTACTTTGTAATCGTGGTGAGCGTCCCTATTTTCGGTTAGTTTTTCGATAAATTAGTTTCTATATTCTTTAATTTGACATTTTTAATATTTTCCTTCTTTTTCATTTTTTTTCTTTCTTTTTATTTAATTCTGACATTTAAATTCTCGATGTAGGGGAGCTCACCACGATAGGATAATTTTTACTTTATATACGTTAATGTGTGTTTGCTCTGAGGAAGGCTAAAAAATGAAACATGCAAGCGCGTTTAGTGAATAAAGAAGTTTCACTCTTTATAAGTGTATTATTTTCGCGACGTCTTATGCGCCCGACTCCTAGTGCCCTTACTCTTTCCAATTCTTTGATTTGTGAGGAGTCTTGATTACTTTGATTTATTAACGGATTTATTATACGCAGGCTTATTTACGCAGGCTGTAAATATGCGTCCACCTCAATATTCTTCCTTTTTTCAATTTGTTCGGTTTTTGGGCCGGATACAGTTAGATTACTAAAGTCATGGATTAAGTTCCGTATTTGTTTAACTAAAAGTCTTTTACACGCTAGATTCTTAAGATACTGTATCGCGAACAATATTGTCCCACCTCACTTGCATCGGCTACATAGGTTTAGTTTGGAATTTTTTGGGAACAGTTCATTTAAAGAATTTGAATATATTAGACATCAATGTGTTGTGAATATTTTGAAGTTAGAATTAAATGATACTTATAGGAAAATGGTTTCTACTCGGGTACAGCTTTTCCGATTTGCACGTGCCATTTCCCGTTGCCTTTCTATTCATATTTGTGACGCCTTTTTTGATAAACAGGGGAGATATTCATTTTTTTTTCTTGCGCGAAAGGAGTAGGATTGATTCGAAGTGTTGTTGGCTGTTGTCGAAACAGAGGGAAGAATTACTTAATAATAATATTAAAAATATCAGGCCTATTCGTTATTATCAGAAGACAGTGCCCGCAGTTGATATTGATCATGGCAGGGATGGAGTGTTAGAGAGTACTGCTAGTGTTAGATTATCGTACCCTAACGTGCAGAATCCAAAGGTTGAGACAGTTGGAGAAATACAGACAGATCCTAAGTCCTTTCTTCCACAGATTCCTTTTCCTTCATTTACCTCACAAAGGAATGGCTGGTTCGTGAATCTGTCAACCGTTTCCATACCTTCTAATATACAGAACTTTTTGCAATTGGGAGAGAACTTTGCCTTACCTTTTAACAATAGATTAAATTTAACGGTCGATCTTATTAAGTGTATCGAAAGTAATATTTATAAATTGCCTATAGATGAGCGGATTTCGATCTCGAACCACTCACTTCCTGTGTTAAATAACTTAGCTTCTTGTTCCTTACATTGCACGGAAGTAGATAGGAGTTTGTTACAGTTAGCGAAAGATACTAGGGTTTTTCTAAGGGATATGAACGATAGGGTGATTTTTATTCGCGCGGATAAGGGGAATGTGACAATAGCAATGGATAGACAAATGTACATTTCCAAGGTAAATGAAATGCTTCAAGATGTCAATACTTACGAGGTAGTTGTAAGGGATCCGACGAGGCGAATGGTTTCGGGCTTACGCGCTTTATTAGTTAGGTGGAAAGAAAAGAAGTATATATCTGATTCCACATATAGAGGTTTGTTATGTAATGACGGGATACTTCCGATGGCCTACGCTCTTCCGAAGATACATAAGCAGGACTGCCCCTTTCGTATAATAGTTTCTTCGATAAACAGTCCTTTATATTCGTTAGCAGTGTTTCTTCATAGTATTATCATTAAAACGATTCCTAAGGCGGATAGTCATATCGATAATAGTTTTAAACTCGTTAAGGAACTTGATGGTAGGCGGTTGAGTGAGGAATTTCAGTTAATGTCACTGGATGTTGTTAGCCTCTTTATTAACGTTCCCATTGACTATGCGATGGACTGTATCCAAGATCATTGACGATTTATTTCCAGAGATTGTTGTTTACCGAAGGAGGGATTCATGAAAGCGGTTCAGTTTATTTTAGATTCTATTTTCTTTGTGTTTGATAGTGTTATTTATAAACAGAATTATGGTACTCCCATGGGCTCCCCGTTGTCTCCCGTCATCGCGGATCTAGTTATGCGTAAGTTGGAGAGTAGAGCTTTGTCTTTGATTAAGTTTCCGTTCCCCCTTTACTATAGATATGTTGACGATATAATCATGGCAGCGCCTGTTTCTTCGGTTAGTTCCATTCTTGATGTCTTTAATTCTCAGCATCCTAGGCTTCAGTTTACTATGGAAGTGGGGGGTGATAGGTTAAATTTTTTGGATGTTACAGTGATTAGGGTTAATGAGTTGATAGAATTTAATTGGTAAATAGATAAAAGAT